TTGCAATGTATCACTTGCCTTTTATAGGCTAAGTTTGGCACACAGTTTAAGACACTCTAATATAATAATATAAATGACTAGTGGTAGATTCCACTATTTACAATAATAATATAATTTTGGTTGTATAGTTTTGAGGCACCACATTTCAGTATGAAATCATGATTTATATCTAAGGAGAAAAATATGATTGTGAAATCATCAAGTCTACCTAACATCAATATTAGATTAAAAATAATACCAACAAAAAAATTGCAAAATGGTGTAAAATTGTTGCTAGTAAGTATCCCCTATATATTAATACATAATGCACTGAGCCTACGTGGCTATTTCTGGTGCTTCGAAATCCTATGTGGCAAAATTACATGCTTCGTTATTAGGCTTGGGTAAATTTTAATTTAATTCCAAACCAAAAATAATTAGGTTCGGATTACCATAAATATGTTGATTATTTATGGTCATGTTACATGTATTAATTGTATTTTTATATCATTCCTTATTATAACTATTGAATTGTATATATATTTTAAAAGTTAATAACTTTTGTATTTTTTATCAATTTTACATATGTAATATATCAAATTAATCTTCTTTTGATAAGCTTCGATTTAACATCCATATTGTATGTATAAAAAAAGTAATTTATATTTATCTTTATAATAATAATAAAATTATTTTTAATATTAATTAGAAAAATAAAATTATTTATCAACTAAAATATTTATATTTCAAGTAGTTATATGATATAAGTTATAAAAACTAATATAATACTACCTCCTATTTTAAATACATGTCGTTTTGGGATGTTGCACATCTATTAAGAATACTTTTTTTGTCAATAATAACCTTATTTAATGAAGATAGAGATGAATGTTTTGAGAAAAGATGAAGAGTGATTATGAAAAAACGTGATGTATTTATTAACTAAATGAAGGTAATAATGGAAAAATATGTACAAAAGATCCAAAATGACATTTATGTTGCAAATAGTTGATAAAGCTAGAATGACATTTAAAAAAAATAGGAGGGAGTATAACACATGTAAGTCATAAGTAACACATATCATTCTAAAATATATAGTAATATATATATTTTTTTAAAAAATAAACTAAATTTAATATAATTTTCTCATTAATTTTAAAATTTAAGAATAATTTTTTAACAAGCACCCGTGTAATACACGGGTATTGTACTAGTAAATTTATTAAAGAGCAATATTTCGAGTCTTAAGGAACAAAACTCAGAGCTAAATTAAAGTAAAAAAATTATGTAAAAACTCTTATTTTTAAACTGCCCGACTCATTAACTAGACGAGTTTGATTTTGATGTTTATCAAAAGAATCGAGTCGAGTCGAGTCGAGTAAGCTAATAATTTATCGAAAGAGTCAAGTCGAGCTTACAGTCGAGTGTTTTTTTTTTTCACATTATTTTTTGAGATAAAAAGGAGAAAAATAAAAATAAAAAATGAGGCAAGTAACAGAAGGCCATGCCATGGCTCCATTTATGGCAATTACCCCTAACACGTGTTAAAAATGGTTGAGAAGAGATTGTCAGGAGGACACACCATCTTTTTCCTTTACTGATTGAAATCGAAATTCCGATTTCGATCCCAATTTTTTTTTTTTTTTAAAAAAAAAACCCCGTTTTTCTGTTATCTCAATTTCCCGACCACAATTTGCCGTCGTCGTCTCCGATGAATTGAGAATCCATCGGCTCCTAGCTGCTGTTGTACGAATCTAGCTCCACCATCGCGAATCTCGTAAAAATTCCTGATTTTTCTTAAAATTCTCGAATTTCTTCTGGGTTTCATTGGATTTTTGTCGGGGTTTCAGATAATCTCTGTTTGTGTGTGTGTAGTGTGAGAGGAAATGCAGAGCCAGATTGTGTGCAGCGGGTGTAGGAGTCTTCTCATGTACCCTAGTGGGGCCGGCAATGTGCGTTGCGCCTTCTGTAATGCAATTACTAATGTTCCTCCTCCAGGTTATTATTTTCTTTGATTTCCATGGAGCAGCTAATGTACTCTGAATGTATGTGTTTATTTATAGAAGAAGAAGAAGGAGGAGAAGCATAGCTTAGCTCTTGGGTGTGGGCCTTTACCGTGTTTTCGAAGATAAACATTTTATGAAAATCAATGATTGAAAAGGATAAAGTATCGATCGATGGCCTACTTTGATGGGTTTGCTTCAATCTATGATTTAATGCTGCATTTTGGTTTTGTATGTGTCCTAGGAACTATAAAGTTTGATTCTTGAAATGTGTGACTGTTTTCGGTTTCTGTTAAAAATATCGAACCGAATGTGTGATTTTGAGATGATTAATTTTCGCGACTTGGATTATGAAATCGCATGCTCTATTCTGTGCTATGATATTGTCGGTTATGTGTAGTGTATTTATTTGAACATGGGATATGGTATTATGTTGCATGGTATTTAGCAAGTGTTGAGTTATGAGTATTGTATATGAAGTTAAGGATTTCAGTTCATAATAAGAGATCCATTTAGCTTATTTGCAACATGTTGCAAATTACTTGAATTCACAGTTGGAAGTTAATCAACGAGAGTCATTCAGGTGGACTTGAAATCCATTTTATCTTGGGTTTGTCTGAGTTTAGCTTTGTCTTTATTTCATGAATCTGAAGCTTCGAAACCAAATTAAAATTCTGGGTTAGATATCATGATTTTATCTTACATTGATTATACACGCGCGTTATGCTCAACAAATACTTGGTATTTCTATTTATGAATATAAGGCAATGCCCCGTTATATTGCACTTGATTTATGGGTTTTATACGAATAAAAATCAGTTCTTTCTCAGGAATGGAGATGGCCCAGTTGATATGTGGAGGCTGCCGTACGTTATTGATGCATACACGTGGGGCCACTAGTGTCAGATGTTCGTGTTGTCACACAGTAAACCTTGCACCAGGTAGTATATATAAGAAAATATGAATGCTTGCACAATAAATTATTAATTTATCTCAAAAAAATGATCATGGGCTTTAATTATTCATTATGGTTTGTATCTTTGGTGATCCGATTGGGAAGTTAATGTTTCCTTATTGAACTTTCATTTTTCGATGAACTTTGTCTTTTATTTATCAAAACAAGCTAGCGCCAAAATTGTTTCTGTTGTTCTCTCTTGTAATCGTGCCTTTATGTTAATTATTAGCATTAGATTTCTCTTCTTTACATTTTTTCAGCCAGTGGCATCATAATTTTCCTAAAATGTTGATTGATAAATGCTATTATGCTCGGGTAACTAGTGTATTAATTTGTGTTTACATTTTGAACAATCTAGCAAGAGTTATAGGGTTTTCTTGTTTAACTAGCGTATTTTTGTTTCATCTGTAATATTTAGTTAGATTTTAGGAATGCAAGATATTATTCCAAGATTTTATTCATTTATTATGGCACTTCTGTCAAAACGACAGGTTACTGAACTAATTCTCAACTGCACAAACTTCATTTTGGACCTTTATATGGCTCCCACGAGATTATTTTATCATTTACACGACTTAACAAAAAATAAATAAATAAAATAAAATAAAATAAAATAAAATCAACTATCAATCCAGTAATTTCGAATATTTTCATGAATATCCATTTCTGCTTTTTCTTCTTCTTCTTCTTCTTCACGTGTATCTATTTTTCTGTCGTTTGCTCAGCACCTAATAATACCGCACATATCAATTGTGGGAATTGCCACACGACCCTCATGTACCCTTATGGTGCCCCATCTGTCAAATGTGCCGTTTGTCAGTATATCACTAATGTAAACGTAAGTGTATTTTGCTAATTGTGTACCTTAATCTGTTAAGAGAAATTTGAAGGATTCTTTTGGACTCGTATTTTTTCGGACCACTTACTCTCGAGTCTCGTGCCATTTTTTTCTTTTTTTCTTGTTTGTTGTATCTATATGTCTTCTTATGTGCAGATGGGAAATGTTCGGGTCTCGATTCCTATGAATCAGCCCACTGCGCCAGGCTCTTTAGCATCTACACCCTCAAGTTCAGCTGTGAGTTTCAAAAACTAAGACTGTGATTAATTTTTTAACTTAATTCTTTATATTTTTCAATTTTGTGTCTAATGTTAGGCACTGCCTAATTCCCAGAGCCGAACAGTTGTCGTAGAAAATCCAATGTCCATTGACAAGAGTGGGAAATTGGTAGATTTCTTGTTTACATCACATCATTTGTGCTAAAAAACCTACCTTTTTTTGCTTTTTTTTTTTCATTTTCTTTTTTCCATCTCAACATGTATTATGAAAATATCTCGAACTATTTAGGTGACCAATGTTGTAGTTGGTGTAACCACGGAGAAAAAGTGATCCTGCTCGGAAAAGCTCGGGAGCAAACAATCACTAAAACAAGGTATGTATATTCAATAGGGAACATATCCCATTTTTCTCGTTTGTAATTTGTGGCATCTTTGCCTTGTTCGTTATGCAAATTTTCGACGTACATTAAGTTTTACATGTATGTATATTGTGTCGACAACTGTCTTTTTTTTTTTTAACCATCGTTCGGGTGGACTTGTGTTTTATCGATTCGGAAGTAAACTTCAGTGCTTAATGTGTAAAAGAGACTATAATGTATTTCTTATGAGAACATATGGTAAATAGAGACATTTTGGGAATTTTACCTATTTTTGAAATCACTTATCTATAAAATCCCAGATCAAAAGTCTCATTTTGTTGCTTCATTTCTTTTCCAAAAACATGCCGTTCATACTTGGGCTCCTTTTTTCCTAGCTCTAACAGGATTCGGCCTCTCTTGGCCCATCCCATGGGCGGGATGGGCCAGGCAGGCTTAGTAAGCTGCCGGCCCTTGTTAACTATTTTTGTTGGTCTGGGCTTGGCCATGAAAATCGGGCCTTGAGCATATTAAGACTTAAGAGGATATGTCTAGAGGTGCAAATGAGATGAATCGAGCTAGAGCTGATGATGAGCTTGAGCTCGAGCATTGGAGTTGGACTCATTAACAAAACTAGCCGATAAACGAACTCGAGACCGACTCGTTTATCAATATTAACATGACGACCAATAAAAAAATGGCATAAAATTTTTTATTTTTGAACTTTAACAAATTGAGTAGAGCTTAAAGTTCGACTCATTAGATAAACAAGTTCGAGCTCGGCTCTTTTATCAATCAAGTCGATTCGAACTGAACTTCGAGCCTTAACGAATTAAGCTGAGCCGATTAATATTTTAACATCTCTAGTCTCTAGATGTGATAAAAGTGTTAAGAAGAGGAAAGGACATGAGATTTAAATATATATTATGATTTTCTTGAACAAATAATTGTTCAAAATTGATATGTGGAGGGTAAATATGGCATTTTGTAATAAATACATGTTGGCGTGATTCATTTAATATAGTGGGATGATTACAATGTTTTCGAGTTATAAATTGCAATTAGGATTATTATTATTAATCAAGAGCCACCTAATTATATTCCAATTTATTCATTAATCCAACGTGCAACTTGAAGAAGGGATTGTTTTTTGACTATTTATAGTTATTGGAAATAACTACTAGAAGAAAATTATGGTCATGCATGTGGATAACTAGATTAGCTTGCCATAGACATGTAGATTTAGCCCAATAAATTAGAATAAATTAAAAATAGAGAAATTAAAACTTGATCTTATTGTGAGTTAGTTAATTATTGTAAGCATGCTTGGTTTCAGGGAATAGATTTGACAAAAATAATCTCAAATGAATGGATTGTGTTAGGTAGACAAATAAGCTAGCTTATAGCTTATTTGGTTAGCTTATAAGTTTTTTGTATTTAAATAAGTCTCGTTTGGTAGGACGAGCTTTTTTAAAAAGCTCGAGCTTATTTGATAAGCTTCTTTAGGTACATTTTCAAATAAGCTAGTTGAATTTTTTGTTCTATGTAGCTTATCAGCTAATTTTGCTGAACGCTTTTATTATATAAGCTAGCTTTCCAGCTATAAGTCATAAGCTATAAGTTATAAGCTCGAAAATTACTGTTAAACTATAACCTAGTTTATCAGCTAGTTTTACCAAATATAGTCTGTATTGTTAATGACTTCATGATTTTTTAAGATATGATTTTTTTTTTTTTGTCTCACTCATGCACTTGATAATTGATGGGATTATTGTGTGAAATTACTTTTTCACCCTCCATTTTTTCTACCCAAATGTCTGATCGTGTTAAAATGAGGACAAATTGGTCAAGTAAGAATACAGCTGGTTTCAGTCACGGAGCTCATCCAATCATGCGGGCTACAATCCATTCAATCAAACACTAGGTTAAAACGGGACAACAGTTCTTATCCCATCTTCTCATGCATGATAAACATGCCAATAGGATTTTGTTCAAGGGAGTGTCTATTAACTCACTTGATAAGGCTAAACTGGAGTATGTACGTTTAATCCATCGAAAAGTTATATTTTGGAATAAAGGATTGTAAAAACTAGTTGTTTTTATATATCAAACAACTAATTATATACCAAATACTTGGCATAATCACTAATCGAAACGTTAATTAATCATTTATTTGTTATCACCTAGTCCAATAGGTTATCCGCTAAACGCCAAACATGGCCACCGGAGGAATGTTTCTTAACAAGAACTCTCCCTCAAAATCTTGAATCCCGGTGCGTGATATCACAAGAACCTGCGTGATATCACAAGAACCAAACAAGTGATTCTTGAAAAAGAGAAAAAAAAAAATGGTAAATTCATCAAGAACAAGAAGTATGCTGTCAGAGCCCTAAGCAAGTTAAATAAACAAAGGGAAATGAAAAAAATAAAAAATGATGTCATAATTTTGTGGGATGCACGAGCTGGGCATAATCTAATAAGAGAAAATGCTAGGGTTCCAATACGATACTATCCGTCTGGTGTTTTAACCGTTGGATCATTTATCTTATACTAACTACAAGTGTATTCAACGGTTAAAACACCCGATGGAGTGGAACCGTAATGGGACCTTAGTATTTCATAGTAAAAACAGTGGATAAAAAGAATTTATCTATTGTTTAGCTTAGGGAGTTATGATTTACGGGGGCTGAATTAAACTCAATCACAATTAAGCTACTAATGAAGATGTGGGCTACAAAATTATTATAAACAAGTACTTTAGCCACTTCTATGGAAAGTGAGATCCTACAATTTGGTTTGAGAATTTAACCATTTGATCACACATATTTATTTATAAATATTTATGCATTTTTTTTTTTTTTTTTT